TAAAAGTAAACTACTATTAATGTAATCTATAAATAAGTAAGTTCCTTAAGTAAGTTACTTTATTAAGTTTTAACTTTTTATAAACTAATAATATAATAATACTTATAGCTATTATAATAATATTTTGCTAGTAAATAGCTAGTTTATTTTTTTAGCTTTTTTATAAGTTTTTAAGTTATATCTAAACTTATAATAGTATTTACAATACTTTTACTATAGTGTGTTAACTTTAGTATACTTTTTATTTTAATATATTTTATTTTTAATTTACATATTAACGTTTGCTTAAGTAATTATAATTAAGCTTTTTACTTTTACTAGTATTTCTTTCTTTTAAATTTAGATTTTTTTAGTACTTTTTATACTATATTATAGGTTTATTTACTTTTTAAAACTAAGTAACTTTTAAGTATAGTAATATAAATTTATGTATTATTAGCTTAGTACTTTTTATAAGCTAGTAAATTAACTCAAAAATATACATAAGTAAGTTATTTTAATGCTATTTAATTTAATTATAAATTAGAGTCTTTTAAAACTTTAATTTAGTTACAGTTTTAAGTATTTTTAACTTTTAAATAAAGTTTTTTTGGAAAAAAAAAAAGTATATAAAGTTAAATATTAAGCTTTTTATAATTATATTTTAATAAACTACTTTAAATGCTAGTAAAAATTCAAGCTTTATAATATAGTAAATATAGTTATAAATAAAAATTATAACTTAGTACTTATATGTTTTTTTTTTAAAAAAAATTGTCTATATTAAGTATTTAAAGTAAAGGCAATAAATAAAATAATATATAAAGTATAATAATATTTTTTTATAAACCTACTAGAATTTAAGTAAATTATAACTTTTATAGCTATTAATTATTAGTAAATAATGTGCGTTTATTATATAACTTTTTATATATTTATTAAAATATAATAGCTACTTAATACTAGGCTTATTAGTTATCTAGCTATTATTACTTAATAAAATAACTTAATTTAGTAGTATATTATTACTTTTATACTATGTAACAAAGTAGTACGTTTTTAAAAAAATAATAAATAGTAAAATTACTTATTTTAAGTATTATTACTTTTAATTACTATAACTTGCTTATAATTACTTAACTATACTACTTTATACTAAATATATTTATTAGAGTTTATAATAACTTTACTACTTAAAATAACGTTTATTTAAAATCTAGTTCTGTTAAACTTATATATATATATTTTTAGTAATATTACACTTTTTAATTATATACTATATATAGTTAAATTAAAACTTAATAATTTTAGAATATTTACTTAAAACTTTCTAGTAGTTATACTTTTAATTATAAACTATTTTAACTTTTAAAGTTTACTATATAAAGTTTTTTAGTTAGTTTCTACTAACTAAACTAATAGAGTATATAGTAAGTAAATAATTAGCCATATTTCTTATAGTACTAAACTTAAGAGAAAATTCTCAAGAATTTAAATTAAGTATATATTAAATAATAACTAATTTTTCTAGTTTACTAAAAATTTTTAAATTAAGCTTATAATTATATTATAAGGTAGTTTTAGTATATTATTATTAAAATATTATAAAAGAAATATTATATACTATTATAACTTATTACTTGCTTTATAATTAGTTTCTTTTAATTACTAAAATGGCTAAAAATAGTCTACTTTTATTATAAATTAATTAAAAGTTACTTTATTATTACATTGTACTTAAAAGTTAGTAAGTTACTTTTTTTTAGTAAAGTAATCTACTTACTTAAGTAACCTACTTACTTATAAAATATATTATTTTATTAATTTCATTAATTATTATTTTAAGTATATATATTAAAACATAAAGTATAATCTTATAGTACTATAATAAAAGTAAAATTACTTAAATTATAATTAAAAAGTTTAATAGTAACTAAAAAAAGTATGAAATAAGATTTTTACTTACTATTAATTAGTTTAAATAAAAAAAAGTTAGTTTTTATTAATAAAGCTTAAGTAATAAAAATAGTAAAGTAAATTTATTAAAAGTACTTATTTAGTATACTATAACTTATAGTATTTTTACTTAATACTTTTATTATATTTTTTATTTTTAAGTAAATTTATTTTTATTTTTATATATTTTAAACTAGGTTTTAAATTAAGTATTTGCTAGTTCTTTTTATAATACTAGTTAATTAACTTTTAACTATTTAGTATATTTTTCTTTATTTTTACTTTATTTATTTTTTCTTTAATTTAGAAATTATATAAAGTTATAATAAATACTATATTTTTTATATTAATAAGAAAAAATAATTTTAACACCTTTAATAATTTTAAAAAGTAAAGAAATATGTTAAAAAACAGCATTTTAAGTAGTTTAAACTAAATAACTTAATTTCTTACCTAAATAAGTATTATAAGTAGTTAGATATAGTTTTTTTTAGTTATCTATACTTTAAAAACTATATAACTATATAGCTATAGGTTATACACAATAGGTTTTCCACGACACCCCCAACACATAATGACAACGCACTCTCCATGAATGGCCGCACAATAATGATCCACTTAACGACCGCGAATGAACAAAATCAAGCGAAGAAAACGAGATTCTCTGCAGGGAGCTTTTAAAAATAATTCCATTGAGTCAAATTTAAGGCCTCCAAGAGAAAGTCGCGTCCTGCTTAACACATCTGCATTGCCAAGCTCGCATAGCCTGCCGCAATAGGCTAACCCCTTACCCACTTCAACTGCGCGGCCCGACACTGAAGAAAATCAGTTCATTTTGATGGTTCAGGCTTGGCGTGTGCTCTCCTTTTGTCCTACTTTAAATTTCATGCGAGTCCTCGAAGTTCATTCTCGAAGTCCGTTCTCTCAATAGCAACCCATTCACTCCACCTTGAACGCGTCTCGAGATGAGTACTATGATATCAATTTTTGCCTATGCACTTGTTGGCATTTCCACTCTCATTTCCTGCAATGTCCTTAGTCAGTTCATTTTCCGCAAGAAAAGCGAGCCTCCTGTGGTTTTCCACTGGTTTCCTTTCATCGGCAACGCAATCAGCTATGGCATGAATCCATACAAGTTTCTTGCTTCATGTCGAGATAAAGTAAGTGAAACTCCAGACCCTTGAAAAAAAATGCTCAGCGCAAACTCTCATTGTGGTATGGCTGCTAATACTGTACTTCCATAGCATGGTGATATATTTACCTTCATCTTGTTCGGCCGCAAATTGACCTGTTATCTCGGTCTCGTTGGGAATGAATTCATCCTTAATGGCAAACACTCGCACCTCAACGCCGAAGAGATCTACAGCCCACTGACTACGCCCGTTTTTGGAAGCGACGTCGTATACGACTGTCCCAATGCCAAGCTCATGGAGCAGAAGAAGTTCATGAAGTTCGGACTCACTCAGCAGGCACTAGAGCGCCATGTTCAGCTCATCGAGAAAGAGGTACTGGATTACATCAAGTCAGACTCATCATTTAAGGGAGAGCAAGGAACCGCCGACATACCTAGCGCAATGGCGGAAATCACGATTTTCACTGCGGGTCGAGCATTACAGGGTGAAGAAGTGAGAAAGAAGCTTAAGAGGGAGTTTGCTGAACTATACCATGACCTCGACATGGGGTTTCGGCCGATCAACTTCCTCATGCCTTGGGCACCGTTACCGCAGAATCGCCGTCGCGATGCTGCACATGCAAAGATGCGGGCGATATACGAGGATATTATTCAAACACGGCGCCGGGCTGGGAAGGAGAAGGTTGAAGATGAGTCGGACATGATCGCAAACCTGATGGAGTGCTCCTATAAAGATGGACAACCAGTTCCAGATAAAGAGATCGCGCATATGATGATTACGCTACTGATGGCTGGTCAACACTCGTCCTCTTCAGCAAGCTCCTGGATAATGCTCAGACTGGCCTCTCAACCGGAAGTCGCAGAAGAATTGTACCAAGAGCAGGTGCAGAATCTCGCAACGAACGGGCAGCTACCACCGCTCCAATACGCAGACCTGGAAAAGCTTCCTTTACTACAAGGCGTCATCAAGGAAACACTCCGCGTCCACTCCTCCATCACATCAATCATGCGCAAAGTGACCAAACCTCTTCCCGTTCCCGGAACACCGTATCTCATCACTACCGACAAAGTCATGCTTGCTTCGCCGGTTATTACAGCCTTAAGTGACGAGCATTTCCATAATGCTGGGACTTGGGATCCGCACCGTTGGCTATCTCATCTTGACGAAGAAGCAAATGGCGACGATGTTGTGGATTATGGATACGGCGCTGTCTCGAAGGGAACCCGGAGTCCGTATTTGCCCTTCGGAGCTGGAAGGCATCGATGCATTGGGGAGAAATTCGCATATGTTAATTTAAGCGTAATTACTGCTACGATGGTGAGGCACTTCAGGGTTTTTACGATGGATGGGAGGCGGATAATTCCGGAGACGGACTACACGTCTCTATTTGCTAGGCCAAAGCAGCCTGCCGTGATTAGATGGGAACGTCGAGATATATAAATATTGTATCTTTATTGGAAGTGCTCTGTAGCATGGCTAACCTTGCGTTAACATACAGGACTAAGGGCGGTGGAAAAGGCCGAAGAGCTGAATATGCACGTGATGGAGAGAGAAAGTATATCGTTCACTGTAGAGCGTCCTCCGCTGGACAGGATAGCCAACCGGGGACACATGTTGAAGTCTAAATGCTGGTACGAAGATGCCATGTCATTTGGTAGCAGATTGCTTTCAGTTATAGAGGCCAGCTTAAACCTTTGTATCCTGGCAAAGAGTCATCGCTTATAAATAAGTGCAGATAAAATGACTTGAGGATAGGCTTTGACTACTCCGCCATGCAGAATTCAAGCCAGTGTGAATGCGGACCAGGATGAATTCAAGCATGCTTACGTGTGGTATGTGACAGTAATGAAAGCGAATGAAAGCGATCCGCGGTAGAAAAATGTCACCGCAGACAGGGAGGCTGACCGACCCGCCCTGGCCTCATCCTGCAACGGTTGCAGTGCTATCAATGATGGTTCGTTCTGCGTCGGCTGCGGTATGGTTGTTCCAGCTCTGCTCCGCGTCGTCCGCAGTGCTGTTGTCCGTGTCCCTAGCGACTGCTGGGCCTCGAATACTCTCGCACTTTTCCGGATGCGTCCTGTCGGCAGGGCTAGCGGGGCTGGGATGCAAGCAGGGGCGAGTGCCTGCAGACGCTCGAGGGCCATAGCAGTTAATTATGCCTTGTCGGCCGCTTTCTCACCCGACTCAACACGGCTCGCGTCGGGGTCGCTTGATAGGACGATCAAGATCTGGAATGCAAGCAGGGGCGAGTGCTTGCAGACGCTCAGCATCGATGCGCCACTCATTAATATATCATTCGATACTACCGGCTCGTGTCTTCATACTGAAATCGGTACTATCGCTATTGACGCATCAACGGGTTCAAATATAACACGGAGTGTTCAGGATTCTCAAAATCACCGATTCCAAGGCTGGACTTTAAGTTTAGACAGAGCATGGATAACACATAATTCAGAGAACCTCGTATGGCTGCCCTCAGAGTACCGGCCAATATGTTCGGCCATGGCGGGGAAGACGATTGGCGTCGGCGTTGGATATGCAACTTCAAGGTCTAGAACGCTAGAAGGGAGGCTTAAATTTTCGTGCCAAAGGATTGCATAGGAGGGAATTGTATCGCCAACCAAATCCTTTGTAAGACTAAATTCGCTAGTGCTGCTACGTTGCAAAAGGCGCATTGCTTTGCAGTGAGTTTTGACGGGTGTATGCGGAAGGAATAAGGTCCAGAGGCTCAGTCGTGGCAGCCTAAGTGAAGAGGCGGCAAACTCGTTGAGAGCGTTAAGTCCTAGCTATCGAGGTCAGAGCGCATACGGGAAAATAGAACGCTAAGCTATACTGAAGAATCACATCCGAAAGCAAGACAGTGCGGGGTTGCTGTGAGCTGATTCTGCCATGCATAGGTGTATCGGTTTTGTGAGGGCTCCGCTCAAGCCATGAGGCTGATTGCACAGCCCAAACTGTGGCGTCGTAAGCCAGACGTGTGGGGTCGGACCTTAGCAAAAGGCGATTTTGCAGGTGACCAAACTGAAGTGGACGAACACCTTAGTGACGCTAGCACGAAGGGCGGCCGAACCGCTCTGGCCACACTCTTGTGTAGGTGTTTTCAGAGAGTTGAGTTGGTTGACTAGAGGCATGGCCAAGATTGAGTTGAATTATAAGGCTGTAGAGCTAAAGCTAGCTTACTTGCTAAGACTTTACACAGCTACAGGCCTAACAGCCATAATAAGTAAATTACACTATAATAATTAATTACGTAGTATAAAGCTATTTTAGTTTTTTACTAATTAAAATTAGTAATTACTTTAATTAAAAGCATTAATTAGTATAGTAACTTTATATAAATTTATATACTTTAGTAAATATATAGTTAATAATAATATTTTAGTAGTATAGTAAAGTTTTAACATTTAAATAAAACTTTCTTATAAGTATTATAAATAGTAAAAACTTAATAAAAGTATTATATAAAAAAAGGCTTTATATAAATTAAATATAAAAATAATAATATAAATATAAAATTTTAAATAAATAATATTTTAAAATTTTAAACATAGTTATAATATAAAATTTATACAAAAATATAGTAAATATTAATATATATATAAAGTTTAAGTTACTTAAAATTAAAGTTCTTATTAGCTTTTTTAGTATAAAAAGTTTTTTACTATTTAAAAATAAGTGTTACTTAGTTTTTACTTATTCTTTTATTAGTAACTTAACTACTATACTACTTTTATATAATATTAACTTAATTATAACTAAATTAAATAACTATATTAAAAAAGTATAAATATAGTTAATATAAAATAAAGTACTAACTTTTTATAATATTAAGGTAAAATAAATTAAAACTAATTTATATTTATTTAACTTAAGTAAAGTACTTAAATATTTTAAATAACTACTTATTAAACTAACTATTTTTAATGTTAATAAAGTAAAAGTAGAAATTTTTTTATAAAACAAAATACTTTAAATACTAAAATACTAAAAATTCTAATATTATTTTATTACTTAATTAAGTAAAATGTTTATATATTTTATAAAATAAATAAATAGTACTTTTAAAAACTAGTTAATATTATTTAAAAATAATTTATTAAGTACACTTATTTTTATAAATAAAATTAATTCTTATTTTAATAAAATAATAAAGTTAAATATTATTAATTAGTTAAGTTAATAGTAATAAAAAAACAAAAGTAATAATTTATAAAAATATTAATAAAGTATAAAAAAGTATGTTTTATAAAAAAGTATTATAATTAATAATAAGTAAGAGTTTATTATAAGTAATAATTACAAATAAAAAGTAGTAAACTAACTAAAAAAAAATTACTAGCTATTAGTAAAAAAGTATGTACAGGAACATAGTGCTAGATAAAAAGTAAAGTAAATACTTTAAAAAACTAGACATAAAACAAGACTTCTAGCTAATATTATTAAAGTAATTAATAGAACTAATAATAGAAAAAACACGTAACGTCTTACATACAAAGTTATAAGAGTAATAAAAGTAATTAAAACTAATAAAAACTAAGTAGCTATATTATAGCTAGTTAGTGTTATAAGTTGTCTTAACTTAACGGTACGTTTTACGCTAGTAACTCTGCCCTAATTAATTACTTAATAAGTTCTTAGTTCTTTCCGTATTTAGAGTAGATAGCTTTAGGTTTAATAGAATAGAGTTTAGTCTTTATCACAAGGTAGGAAGAGAGTATATAATAGATTTAATAAGATAGTATCAAACTATTTCACTTAAGATTAGATCTTAACTTAGAGAGAAGATCTTAATTTTAGAGTAACTATAAAGAATTCAAAATATCCCTAAGCCGTTTCATGTCTCATATTTATAGGAAACTCTTTATACGTATATTGTATACTTGTTAGTAGTATATTAAATACCGCTAGAGATTACTAGAGGCTGCTAGAGCTTACTAGAGCTCTATTATCTTATCTAATTTCTATTTACTAAGCCTTACTTAATCACGTGCGCAACTGCTTCTAATTCTTTAGTATAATTCTATATTTCTATTCTTATTTCTTAGCTTATACTTTAGCTTGTGCTAACACGTCCTGTGTCTACTTACAGTTCTTTCTTTCTAGCTTAAATATACGTTTTTATTTTAGAGCTTTATTAGCTATTATTGCTAGTTCTTTTAGCTCTTTAGATATAGCTATCTTATTATTACTATCCGTAATATTATCCCTCTCTTTTAAGTCTTTGTCTTGGAAGATAGTTTCTTTTTTTTATAAGCAGTATAAAGGCAGCAGGTCTTCTAGTTAGTGTTCTAAACTATAAGACTTTTAACTTCTTTTCTTTTTTACCTAGCTTTTTAATGATAATACGCCTTAAGTTGTCTCTAATACGTGCTTACTATTTAGCTTCTTAGATTTATAACGAACCCCGTTACATGCTAACACCCTATTTAAACTATTCTTATTAAGATAATAATTGCCTAGTAAACTTAAGTTCTAGATATTACTCCACTTACGCTAATTATAATATAAAATACGATTTAATTATCTTACAACCAGAATAGGATTATATTAATTATGATAAGAAAAAACTTTATTACTAGCTTAACTTTTTTAAGGATTAGTATTTTAAACTTTATACTTATAAGTTACGACTCTGCCGCGAGCTTATAAAAGTTAATTCTAAAGAAAAGAAGATATTTAATTAAGAGATAGCTTTAATCCATAAAGTCTAAGCTCTTAAAAAAGAAGAAACTTATTCTTAAGATTAAAAAGTTTATATACTATAATCTATAGTGTCTAGTGCCGCTTTGCCTTTCTTCTCTAGTTTTAAATAGAATATTCTATATTCTCCTTACGTTTTAGATTTATCTTTAGAGTAAGTCTTTACTGTTTTATCTAATAATACTAGTTAATTAGCTCTAAACTATTCTTTAAGTTTCTAATTAGCTTCCAGGTGTTATTCTTAGGTCTATATTTTTTTTATTTAATTAAGTATTTCTACTAACGCCTAAACCGCTGGTAGTCTAAAACCTATTAAACTTTATACTTAGTAGTGTTTTCTTTGAGTTTAAGTCTTATCTATAGTTTAGCATCCCATAGTATTAATTCTAATTTAGAGATATAGAAAACTAGGTAGATTCTTATATTCTTAAGTAATTATAGTTTATAATTTACAGGTTCTATTTATTATTTAACCTTAAATAGCCCCAATTTTACGTGATCTAGTTTTCATAATGGTTGTTTTATTTCTAAATTTTTCTTTTTTAGGAAAATCTTATCCCCTTTTCTAAAGATTAGTCCCTTAACCTTAGATTTATCCCTAATTTACTTATTAAAATTGCCTTTATAGGTAATTTTCTGTGTAATTTCTTTATAGAGTATCTGTAAGTCTTTAACTTTTCTTCTTACTAATTCTAATACTTTATCTAATATTTATGGTTCTCGATAAGCTGTAGGCTCATAACTATAATTTACATAAAATAGTAATTTTCCTGTTATTAATGACTTTACAGAGTTATATATAAACTTAGCTATTAGTAATAAGTTAATCTAATTATCTTATAGTTTATTAACGTACATTTATAGATATTATTCTAGTGTTTAGTTTATCCGTTCTGTTTATTTATCTATTTATAGGTAGAATGCTATTAAGAAGCAGTATTCTGCCCCTAGCTATTTTATAAATATTTTCTAGAATATTAACGTGAATAGTTTGTCTCTATCTATAATAAATTCTCATAGTATTCTATATCATGTAATTAAAAGTTTAATTAGTAATATAGCCAGTTTATCTGGCTTAATTTCCATGTAGGTTAGTTTAAAGTAAGTGTATTTTATTAGTTTATTAATAATAACTAGTATCATATCATACTATTAGCCTCTCTAGATAGTAATTATCAGTATTCCTGTAATAAAGTCTATTATAACTGATTTTTATAGTTTATTTAGTAAAGGTATAGGTTGCATGAGTCTATACTCTTTATATCTTAATACTTTATTCTTTCTATATTTAATATATTTAGAAAGAATTTTCCTAACCTTATTTTATATTCCTAGAATCCAGAAGTGTCTGTTAATTTATTTTATAGTTTTCTTAATTCCTTAATATCTATGCATTTTAGCTGAATGTTGGTCTTTAATAAGTTTAGTCTATAATATATTTAGTATATAAATTGTTTTTTAGTCTAGATTTTACTATAGCTGTCTGTTGTTAGAATTCCTTATTTATTTTTCTTAAATGCTTTTAATAATAACTATATACTTAATATCAATTTACAAGCTTCCTAAGGACCTATCTTATTATTATTTAAGTATTATATTATGGATTTTTAGTATATCTCTTATATAGTTTGCTCTTCTACTAAGTGCATTAGCTACTATATTTTCTTTTCTAACTTTATAAAGTATTTAAAAGTTAAATATAAAAACTAGTTCCCACTATCTAACCTATCGTTAATTTAATTTCTTTATTATTATAAATGCCGTTAGATTTTTATGATTTAAATAAACAACAATCTAGTACTTAGCTCTTTCTAAGTAATGTTTCTATTTTTCAAATACTTAAACTATTACTAATAGTTTCTTATTATAAATATTATAATTTAACTTAGTAGTTGTAAGTTTATAAGATAAGAAGTCTACTAGGTATTTATATTTATTATTTTATATTTATAGTAGAATAGCTCCAGTAGCTCTATCTGATGCGTCTATATATATTTTTATTTAAAGTCATAAGTTAAATATCTTTAATATTAGTAGTTTCTAGAATATCTTTTTTAAGGTTATAAAAGCTTTGTTTTCCTTAACTTCCCACTTAAATTATTAATCTTTTTTTAGTAATTCCGTTAAGGGTGCTGTGATTTTTAAGTAATCTTTAATAAATTATTAGCAGAAAC